ATGATTGTAATATAATCATCAACTCTGTAGTTTCTGTCGATGAAATTGGCGACTGTGAATCCTTGGACAGAGTTCAACATGGAGAGTCATGCATGCAAAGATGTAAGAATTTGTTTTTGAATTCTTTCAAATTATCTGCTTTTGATATTAACACAAATCGACTTCAATATAAAACAGATTTACGAGTCGCACCGCAGAGGATCTGTAGCTTTCCCATCTGAGGTTTCGACTGTCAATGCCGATCCAGCGTTTCCATTTGTTCTACACACACAAATGCAATCCTCCACTCTAAGAAAATCCGGAGGAATGCAATTGCCAACATTTAATGGATTTCCTAACTTCACTTCTCCTTCAACTCAACAACAGGTTCCGTCCAACTCCTTCCATTCCTAGAATCTGAATTCTAGATATCATGCGATTTTAACCTTATCGTTTTCGGTATTTTAGGTTTCTTCAGATTTCTATGACAACGACCTCCAAAACATTGTTCAGATGGGGGGAAACATTGGACCAACAAACCAGCTGAACTAAGACTCGATGCGAACTGGTTCAAAGAACGCCGTCGTTCTTGAGAATACTCTTAAAAGATTACTCAATTTTCATTGTCGAGAATTCGCCAAAGCACAAATCCAGCAAACAAACACGCATTTTTGTACATACATAAAAAAAAAGGAAAAGAAGATGATATTAGAGAGAAGAAATTGAGCTAACAGTGTTTACTACTATGGAGAGAAAGAATTGAAGAACTTTTGTACCCATTAATTGTTGTGTTCTTCCACAAAAGTTTCTTTCTGTTTGAAATACTCTGTTTTTTAGCACCATATTACCACATGTAAGTTTTCAAGTTAATTAACTAAGAGTGGTGCTTGCTTGCTATTTGCATATTTTTGTTGTCCCTAAAAATTAGGTGACATTATACTAACATAGCAAATCTCACCTAACATACACAACAAACTCGATTAACCCAGTTGATCACAAACATTGTTAAGGTGTCAAAAGGTTCAGAGTTCGATCGAGCATACACACAAACTCGATTAACCCAATTGGTCAGAGGTCCAGAGTTTGAGCATACACACAAACTCAATTAACCCAGTTGATCACAGACACTATTAAAGTGTTGTGAGATTCAGAGTTTGAGTCTCACTGTGTACGTATTTTAATTTTTTATTTACTTAATGTACCATGTAATTTATCAAAAAAAAATCTCGCCTAACATATTATCATATAGTCAAAAGAAAAACTAATATTTTTTCAATTATCTTTTATAAATCAATGTAAAACAAGAATATATCAATATACATATAAATTAGTTTAACGGATCACAATAACTATTAAGATTTATTAAAGTAATGTTCAAAAGCCTTGTTGTGTAAAAAATAATTAATCGCTGAATGTAACATAAATCGTAAACAATAGTCCATCAAGTGGCAAAGGGAATCACTGAATGAGACCCTACCATATTATAATTAGATTGTTGTAACTACTCCACCAAGGGAGAGTTATTATTACTAGCATGACTAGGACACCATAAGATGATTGTTTGCAATATATTGTGGATTAGTGAGTATATAGGAAATGATTGGAGAATCCAAACGTTTTCACATATACCGATGGAATTGTCGAAGAAAAGTGGAAGGCCACATGTCATTATCGTAGGTGCCCTGTCAACTTCAAATAGGCACCACCACGCCACGCCACGCCACGCCACACCACTCACCAGGCCACCACCATGCAATTTGTAGGTGGGTGCCAGACTCACTCACTCTGCCAGTAATACTAATTCTATGATTTCAATTTTAAACGATAAAATAAGATTCTGCAATAAAATAATACAGAAAAAATTTAAATCATTACATGAATAATGTTTATACTTTATACTCACTTATAAATTATAATAGGTGGTTAATGGTATAGCCTATCACCAACGACTACATTTTGTCATTAAATGTGTTATTTTTTGTAGTTTAAATAGTTATTGATATTAGTTTTCAACAATACTTCCTATGAGATACTTTAAATAAGATATCTCGTAAGATATTAATAGATTTATTATTTATAAAACATTCTACGGTTTATAACTATTATCAATTTTTTGTAAACCATCTCACTTGAAACTAATTTATTATTTTTCTGTAAAACAAAAGAAACTTGTAAAAAAGTTGCATACCTTTTGTTATCATGTATCTAAGAAAAGCTCATATAAATTTATCAAATAAATTTGAAGGGAATAAAATCTTATATATTGGAAATAAAGTTAAGTAATTAACGATCTTATGTAAACCTTATTGTCATAAAAACACATCAATTATCCCTTCTGATTTTTTTTATGAAAGTAATGAAACCCTAACCTTGAGGATAAAATCGCTAAGTGGATAGAACACAAAATGGAAATTAGCAAAATATTGAACTTGTGAAACCCTAGTATCATGTATATGTGGACATTAATATTCATTGTGTGTGCATATTAAATGGATTAAGATTCATTGTTTTAAACTTTAATGAGATTAGTTTCTTTAGTGTTCGAAAATGATTTAGTAGCAGGAATATAAAAAAAATGTGTTACTGTAGAGTATAGACTGTGTTCTTGTAGAAACAGTAAGCACCAAACAATCAGCTGATGAAGGAAGACAAACAAAAAGGCTGTGAGGCGATTAGAAAAAATAAAAATAAGAGTGAGATCTATTACCAAATCTGTTGAGGGCATGAGGTGTGGACCAGATGGTGGAAGCTTGATGGGAAAGATGGATTTGGTGCTTGTGGGCATCAAAGGTATATTTCTGTCCATCTCTCTACCAAACCAGGCTGGCAAAGTTCTTCGATCACAATCACTGTCACGGCTATTCAATAACAGCTCTGCCGTAACTTCACTTTCAACTTGGTTTGGTCTGTAACTTTGGAAAAAAAACTGTTTGGCATGTTTTTACCTGAAGTTTACTCTGTAAATATAAATGCTTTTTGAGATAATAAATGAGGATTAAAAAGTCTTACCTTGGTAAAAAGACGACCGTCATGACCCTACATGCCAATCAGAAATTAGTGCTCGTAAACTGTCTGGATTTGACATATCCTTGAAAGAATGGGCAATTTCAATTTGACAGCTTGAAAATGAACGAACTGTTGATTGGTTATTTCTTGCTACCCATATGCTGTACAGCTTTCAAACTACCAACTTCAAAGCAGAATCAGAACTCGCTGGCATGTTTGACAATTTCATCTACGATATTGATTGAGAACAATCATGCTGTTTCATGAGTGCTGACTGATGAATGATGATGATGATATTCAAAGAGTAAAAAGACATTTTACAGGAAGCTGTCGCCTTAGATGTGAAATGGACTTTTAGGGAGCCAATGCAATAATCATTACGATATTAACTAACTGTACAGTATGTACTATTACTATCGTAGAGAGAAAAGGGCTTACCAGTGAGAGAAAGTGGCACATCACTTTCTGAAATGCCTTAACTGCAAAGCATCAAACAAGATCTCAAGAAAAGTAAAATACCAATCATACCATATTAAGAAATATGTTTATTGAACATTCACCAAAATTTCTAATCAAATTATGTACACCATCAATCCATCCCATTCCCATACGTGAAATTAAGTATTTTTTCAAACATGTCTCAGCCAATGCCCATTTTCATTTTCAACTATTTCAATGGTGATTGAAATTTCCAATACCAATAACAAACCTTCGGGATTAATTACATACTGGATAACAAGAACGGGAAAAGGTTTTACAATTACCTTACTTCTACCATTGTTAATTTAAGGAGTATAATATAGCCGTCGTCACCATTACCAAAATAATGGACGTGTTTTCAAAAAGAAGCTGATATTCTGTAACTTCTGCCTCATGGTTTCTTCAAACGTTCAATCTCTCGATAAGCCTCATTTACCTCTTTCTCTGCAGCTGCGGTTCGCTTCTGAGAGATGGTAGAAACATAAAATAAAACTACGTTTATTTGTATTAAAAAACAAAAAAACAAAACAAAATCAAACTGCATAAAACTATGAATAATCATATAAAATATCAAAAAACCATGTCAATAATTACAATTTACAAGTGAAGAAACAAGCTAAAAAAATTAAGAGAAAATTCTGATATTACTTTTTTTAAAGAAATTAAATTTCATTAAAAATAAAGGGCAATGCCCAAATTACAAAGATAGAGAATAGAAATACAGATAGAGAATAGAAAGCTCATTAACTCTCTTTCATTAGCTATGTAGTCTAGTTATATAGTAACTAGATACGTTGTCTCAGGAGGTTGGTTTCCCATACTTCCATCGTAGAAGTCTTCAAAGGATAACAATAACTCTTCTTGTGACACCCCGGTTCAAAAAAGAGGCTAATGTCTTTAATGACCTTTTTAAAGACTATCTCAGGAGATTTACTAGTGTGTTGTCTGTATCTGATATCCAGATATGCCCCGACAAGGAACCAATGGCGTTCCAGAGTAGCTCCCAAGGGGGGAGTGGTGTGTGAATTTTTACGCAACCTCCATAAGATTCTTTAATATAATATTACTTTTTTAGAAAAGGTAAATATGGTATTTCTCAAAGCAAAATGGTAGGACATTATCGAACATTCGAACCACACTCTTGGGGATAGTAGACCCCAAAATCATGTGTTTAGATTTAAAATTGAATCCAACACTTAATTTATCATCACGTTTCCAACCATAATTTATCTCTAAAGTGCATTCTACCTTTGAAGCACAGTGCTTGTACCCAATTCTCATAGAGTCTAAAATATCATTAGCAATGTAGCTTTATTTCCTTCTTTCCATCGACATCATCTCTATCTCCACAGTGACCAAAAATCCTCTGCGAGAAGTAGTCAATATAGTCACCAATATGGACTGCATTTGGTGAACAGTGAGCTTTACGTTAAGATCATTTGTGTAAGGTGTCAAGTAAAGCTCGGCTCGTTAAGCTCGATGGGCTCGGTAAGAGGAGTATAAAAAAATTAAAAAATATTATATAGAGAGAAAATGGGGATGTAGCTCAGATGGTAGAGTGTTCTCTTAGTATGCGAGAGGTTGTGGGATCGATACCCCCACTTCTCCAAATTACTTGTTTTAACCTGCAATTTTAGAATTGCAAGTTAAGTTTGAGCCTGACAAATCTTAAACGAGCCGAGCCCGAGCTCAACCAAACCAGGCTCGGCGAGCTCGAGCCTGGATAACTCCTTGACAAGCCGGGCCTGAGCCCGGCTCAATAAGAAAAAGCTCGGCTCGTTTGACACCCTATTTGCGTGCTATGAGTGCTGCATGAAGCATCTCATTTTGTTGTTGCACTACAGCAAAAGAAAATAAGGTCCATGCACTCTCCTTTGGTTGATTACAATGGCAAATATTTATTCATTACTACCTTGTGTCAATCTTCTATATGATGTGGTATAAAATTTTGAAAATATTGGGTGGTTGATTAAGCAAAAATATCAGGGAAACCTAATTGAAGTATTTGACTCCCATCACAAATAACAAAAAGCTCACTTTAATAAATTCATTATTTGCCTTCTTTTTTGATTATAGAGTATTAAATGTGGTACAAACCGTCTTTAATTCTAAATATCATTTATCAAGGTAGATTGATCAATATGATCTTTTATTTCTACTTTTATATTTATAAATGGATTTAAAATTGATTATTTAATCAATTTGTTCAATAGGGAGTCTAAATTTCTAACTCATTTCACACCCGGTTGCTAGCTAAAGTTAGGCGACCTAGTTAGATCCCGCCAAACCTGATTAGACTTGAATTGTCGACAGACCTCAACCAATCAAATTGGTCAACATGACATACAAAACCAAACTAGCCCAATTGGGCCAAGTCAGCCCCATGCCTTTCCTACTAAAAGGGGAACTCTAGATTATTGAACCTCCTCCAAAATTGAAGAAGCCGGTAAAAGAAGAAAATTACCTGAGAAATTATTCTAAAAAGCAAAACTACTTATTATCCACTTTATTCTGCTACTTATATTTGTCTCATATTAGTGGACTTCAATGAGACGAATTAAGTGGAGAAATTAGTGAGAATGACACACCTGACTCTGCCCATGCAGAGTCCATGTCTTACTCTCTTCCACAGAGTTCAGTCCAACTGGCATAATTCCTCCGTCAAAGGGTAAACATTAGGTAACCAGATAAAAAGGGGAGAGTCTCTGAGAGAAAGGTATGCTATTCATTTTGTCAGAAACTCTACACCGTAGCTCAAGAGAGATCTGAAAAGTGGATTTAAAGTGATCGTCGGACGGGTGATACCTTTTGATTTTCAAGCCCGATCTTGAAATTTCATCTCCCAAATCATCAAATGAATTTAGAATTATCAGGCGGACGATTCCCCCCAAAGTTCTCAATCATATCTAATCTTGGGATCCTGGACCCCATTCATCCTCAATCGAAGACCTAATTGACTGTGGTGCCTCAATCCCTCCTAGAACATTATCAACTCTAAAGCTACGTCAAAGCTTCTAAAAATGGAAATAGAGTGTGTTTCCAACTTTCCATAATCCAAACCTTGCACGGAAAACAAACTAACTCTTTCATGACCATAATTGAGGTATCCAAACCCGTCTCAAGCCAGACATCATCAGTCTTAAACAATGAGGCCAGATTATTCTTACCACAAAAAAAACATAATCAGATATCAAAAATCAGACCCCAACTAAGGTCACATTGCTGTGTTGAATGGATAAATTAATGTTTCCCGCTAGTGATTCATGATCTAATTCAAAACTGACCTGTGAAGCATCAGAGGATTCTTCAGCTTCTTTGAGACGAACCAGAAGTTTACCCGCAGTTTGTACAGCTTCAACAGTGTCCCTTAGTTGAGTCTGAAGGTCTTTATTTTCATTCCTCCAGAGTTGCCTCTCCTTTTCTCTCTCTGTTTTTAAAGCATATATTTCAGCAGCAAGAGAATCGATGAACTTTAACTCAGTACCCCTAACACCTGCTCTTGCTGCTGCTTTTCTGACATCACTAATCCCATTCCTGAGTTTTCTGTGCCTGGAAAGCAGTGCAATATGCTTCTCTTGGAGATCTGCATACTGATCAAGCATTCGAGCATGCCCTTGCATTGCTGTTCGCAGAGCTTCTTTTAATTCTTCCAGGCAATTTTTTTCAGAATCTAGCTCGATTTTTTGCTTGTCAGCAAGAGTCCGGATTATTTCCAGATCATGTTTTAATTCTTCACAAGCAGAAGACCACTTATTTTCAGCTTCAGCCCATAGCTTCCTCTCTTCCTCAAACATTTTCTCAGTATATTCTTTTGATAAACCTTTAAATTCACTAGATGGAATATCTAGGGGATAATTGGAGTGAACCAACTGAGGGAAAAAACTGGGTTTTTTATTTTCCAAAGAAGCCGGATCTATGTAGTATTGCAACTGTATCCTTAAATCTTGTATTTCTTCCATCAATACGTCTCTTTCACCCATATCAAAAAAATTCCTATACTTGTCCAATTCGTCTCGAGCACCTCTGAGTTCTATATGTAACCTTAAAACCTCTGGATGGTTCTCATACTTATCTTTCAAACACTGAAAATGCAAACATGGACAGCACTGATATGATCAAAATATGCAAGAAAAAAGAAAAAGAAAATGAAAAGATACCAAAAAGAATCAATCACTTACTTTGTGCTCATTTACTAGTGACGAATATTCTTCTTCCATGAAATGATCAGTTGGAATAATACCATTCATAAAACCCTCAAGGCGACATATCTTATCCTCTCTTGCCTGTTCTAATATCATATTGCATTCTCGTTCATGTTTGTATTGTTGGACCTAAGTGTGTAAATAATGTTACAGTCACTGTGTGAGATGACTCTTAACTAGTGAAATACTTATATCAATAAGAAAACTTACCAAGCGATTTAGATGAGTGATTTCGCTAGCTTGCCGACCACAATGATCTTCAAATGTCATTTCTCTCCTGATAGCACCAGCAAGAACTTTCTCCACAGCCTAGTAGACCAAAAGATTAAAAAATGACTATGGAATTTTCATATTATTGGCTATTTGGCATTGATAATTCAATATAATCTGGATTGAGTAGATTCTATATAAATGAGAATGAAAACGGTGTACAATTGAATTGAAAGTTCACCGTACCCTTGGGATTTTTTTCGTAGTCTTTTGGTTTGAATGTGATTCATCGAGAATTGTCAAATCTGGTTCTGTGTTGACACCAACATCTTTATATACAAGTGTTGTCTGTGCTTTTTTGCAAAATGTACATACATATGAAGTTGAAACTTCTGATTCTTCAGGAAGAGTTTGCATACAAAGATCAACTTTTATGACAGGAATTGAAGGCTCAGTCGGAAAAGTTTCACACGGAGAGGTTTGACCATGATGAAGACTACCAGATCTATTGGCTGGTGTTGAGAAATGATTGCTTACTTCGGTAAAAGCTGCATTTGAAGGACAGCTCTTTGACATATGCGTGTAAGAGTTATTTAGTAACCATGAACAAGAGTGGTCATCTTTTGCATTAACTTTACTAGAAGCAGACATTGATAATATTGTCTTTTGACTTTTCCTACTCGAACACTGATCCTCGACAGGTTGGTATGAATCTTGTAAAATTTCATTGCAAATATCTGAACATAAAGACACACTAAGTGAAATATTATCAGCTAAAAATTTATCATCTGAATGAGACAAATTATTTTTCCCATCATTCACTTTGGTGGATTCAAAATCTGCTACCAAATTTTCATGTGATTTTCTATCAGTAACATCTATATGTTTGCCTTCAATGATATCTGGAATAAGATGGTCTTTTGACATATTTTCTGCTTCGAAGATGGCATTTTTTTCAAGACCAATCAAATGCTCTGTTTTTGAATCTCCATTAACTGATGGGTTCCGACAAAAATCTGTTGGTTCTGAAAATATTGCCTGGCTTGACAGGCTTGCTGATTTGCCCGCGTCATCATTGTTCTCATCATGTGATGGTAAAGCAGCTTGAATAGGAGTATTTTCAACATCTTTATCATCAATTTCCATCTCCTCATCATCAATTTCCATCTCCTCGTCGTCGTCATCATCTATAACAGGCAATATGATAGGATAACTAAGGCTCTGCCTCAATATATTCATACTTCTCTTAGTATTCCATCCAGAAGAAGAAATTTGACAATCTCCTGTTGAACCTTCCTTAGATTGCATCCGAAGAAGCTCATCCTGTTTAAATATTATTTTCAAATATAAAGACTCCAATATAACAGTAATCCCATTGATTTTTTTAAATAGACTAATATAAATTTAAAAATAAAGAAAAAAATACTTTTGGCAAAGAAGAAGAAACAAGTATTATGAATCAATAAAAAAATTCATCAGGGCAAATGTACTTCTACCTTTAGTTTGCAAATTTGCTCCCTTAAGACATTAATATCATCCCTCTTAACCTCGTTCACAATTGCTTTGTTTTTTATGGCCTTCACACGTTGTGCAAATCTCAAAGTACTGGATGTTTCACTCTTGCAACTACAGTAACAAATTAGCCAATTTAAGAATATGTATGAAGTTGTCCATAAATAAACAAGAAGATTAAAGGACTGAACAGCAGAAAATATTACCTTTGAGATGATGACACAGTACAGATCATTGCCAACTTTGCATTGCCACCAAGAGACTCCTGTAATAAAAATGTCAACCTGGAATCCCGATATGGAACGTGACGTTGCTTTCCAGACTGGGAAATTTCCACTAGAATATTAATCAGATTCCTGTAATATTATACTAAATACTAAGCATATGAGGAAAACCAAATAAGCAAACCGAGAATATAATTTAAAATGTGTGGAATGAAGCCTTTGAGATCATTCTATCAATGTTTTAATGCAAAATCTGTGCAGTGTGCGCTATTAATATTCATTAAGGATATCAGCATTAAAAAGATTTCTGAACAAACAACACCGTCTGTCATGATATTTATATTTTATAATAATAAAAAATGTTTTCAGAGCAGATTGATTAAGGATTGTCATTTAAAAGAGAAATGTTGCTTGCATTAATCATCTTTCATTCTTCCAGATCACAAATAATTCCTATTCAT